ACTGCTTATATGCTTACATTTGTTGCAAATATATGTTACCTAATTTTCAAGTACAAAGTCAAACATGCCACGAACACTGCAAGTCACAATTTCCAACTCCTGTCCTTTTATCCTCATTTTTTCTTTTTAAGGCAATATAAGTTAAAAAGCACTTCATCATGTTTTGTTTTCTGTCTCTCAGGACTCCATCTACCTGACCTCTATATATGGCTTATATCAGGGTCACCAACTGGTAGTCTGAAAGAAAATTTTGGTGATCCGCAAAAAAATTATTTGCATTTATATTGCACTAAATCAGGAGTCCTCAAACTACAGCCCCTTAGCCGAATACATGCAATGAACTTTTGTGCTGTGCAGAGAGTCTCTCCGCTCACGGTCTTTTTGTGTGGCTCAGTGGGGGGAGGAAGAAATTCTGATTTGGGGTCTGCTTTGGCCTCCTGGTGCAGGCCTTTGGGCAAAGGCTGGAGGGAAGTGCCGCTGGTAGTGAAGAGCTGGAGGGCCTTATTCCAGTGGGACTGCATCATGGCCTGGATAATTGACCATGTCAGCCTGCTGAGCCTCCAGGTGCTGGCATCTGGCCTTGCATTCCTGTAGGTCTTCCCTCTGCTTGGAAAACGTATGCTCGTAGTCCTCAGTGAGGTGCTTTCGCTGAGCCTCCTTCTTACTCAGATCCAACTCTTTCTCGTGGTGGCTGTTTAGCTCCAACAACTTCTTCCTGTTGGGGCCCTAAGAAACCCATGCGGGGAAGCGAGGAATAGCTGGGATGGAAGGAGTGAGTAGAGGCTGGCGAGGCGCCCCTCGATGTGAGTGACATCACATTGGCCATGCCCACCCAGTCACATAACAATCTAGCCAGTCATTAGGCAGATCATATTAGTGATCTGCAGGATTTAAAATTATGAATTTAATGGTCCCTGAGGTCTGAAAGGTTGGTGACCTCTGGCTTATATAATATTTACTATCAATGTTATCCCTTAATTAGCCCTTAATGTCACATAGAATAATTTAGTACTATACATATTGCACTAAAGTATTAATTTCTGTCACATATTAATTTTTAATAGTTGAACATATTTATTTCAATATAGAATTTTCAATATACATTTATTTCAATATACATTTTCCAAGATTATCCCAGCATATATAACAGGAGGCCAATATTACTAAAAACTACAGGAACTAAATTATTTTTTTTATGGAAACAGTGGTCATTTGGTTGTTTCTGATATTAAAATATATAAGGGAAGCATAGCTCTTCTATGTTGTATAAAGTCTCTACAGGTTTATTTAGATGTATGTATACTAAACTGGACATATTCCATTAACAACACAGATTTATTTCTTACCAATTATCAGTATCAGTTGAACTGAATGAGATTCAGTTTTAGAAACAGAAATAGAAACAGAGAACTGGAAGGGACCTTGGAGGTCTGCTTGTCCAACTCCCTTCTCAAGGCAATAATCCTTATTCCATCCTGGAGAAATCCATCTTCTTTTGAAAATCTCCAGCGATGGAGCATCCACAACAATTCAAGGCAAGTTGTTTTTTTAATTAATTGTTTTCACGGTTAAGAAATTTCTTAATTCCACCCATTCCTTCTTTCCCTGCTCTCAGGTTCTTTGGAAAGTAAATCAATAATCTCTTCTCTGGGACAGCCTTTCAAATATTGGAACATGGTTATCATGTCACGACTAAACCTTCTCTTTGTTAAGCTAAACACATCTAGTTCCCTTAGCTGTTTCTCCAATGGTTCAGTTTCCAAACCCCTTATATTTGTTGCTCTCTGCATTTTTTCTAGGGCCTCAGCATCTTTTTTGTATTGTGGTGACCAGAACGTATATGGAATATAGTATTCCAATTGTGGTCTACTAATATAGTGTAGAACATACTACTGGTATCACTTCTTGTGATCTTGATGCTATACCTCTGATGATGCAGCCTAGGATTGTGTTGGCTTTGACAACTGCAGCACATTGCTGGCTCATGATCCACCAGAAAACCTACCATATTTTCCCGAAAATGGTCTTAGTATAAGACTTGGTCTTATAATTTTTTTGCTACCAAAAAAAAAAAGGCACCAGGTCCTATTTTTGGGAGGTGTCTTCTACTGACTGACTTCGTGTGGCAACACCATCAGTCCTGACCAGCAGGAGCCCACTGCCAGTCCACTTCTTCTGTGGCCACTTCTCGCATCCAGCTTCCATTTCACTGTCAGAGGCCTTCAGGAAAGGCTTCTGCAGCCAACGACAGAGCTCCGGATTGATTCCAAAGGCAATGCACACAAGGGGTGGCAAACGGCCTCGTAAGTGGGCTGGCAAGGCAGGTGTCGGGATGTGCGAGGTGCTGTTAAGTAGGGCAGTTCTACCACCCCTATCCACATCCTAGCTTAATTTTTACCTATGCGCCCTGCCCCATCCCATAATGGGCGAGGGTCTTAACTAGGGCTTATTTTTGGGGTTAGGACTTATATTAAGTGCATGTGAGGGGATCAAGCTAGGGCTTACTTTTGGGATGGGTCATATTTTTGGGGAAACACAGTATATCTCTCTAAGTTACTACTGTTGAGCCAGCTATTGCCTATTCTGGACAGATGCATTTATTTTTTCCTGCTAGCTTTTCTCTCCATTGAACTGCATCTTGTTGGATATAGCTCAATGCTCAACTGTCAAGATCCTTCTGAATTTTGAGTATCATCCAAAACGTTAGCAATTCTCCCCACCTTGGTGTCATATGCAAATATGATGAGTATCCCTACAATCCCTTCACTTAGGTAATTTATGAAGATGTTGAAGAGTACTTGAGGCACTCAACAACAGACTCTTGAAGTACTCCATATAGGCATGCATACATGCATGGATGCATTCTCTCTCCCCACATACACACGTCAACTTACAACAGTTCATTTAATGACCATTCATTGTAACAACACCATAAAAAGTGTCATGACCATTTTTCACACTTACAACCATTATAGAATCCCATGGTCAAGTGATCAAAATTCAGATGCTTGGCAACTAGTTCATATTTATGATGGTTGCAGTATCCCGGGATCATGTGATCATTTTTTTCAAATTTCTGACAAAATCAATGGGGAAGCCAGAGTCACTTAACAACCATGTTACTAACTTAAAAACTGTAGTGATTTACTTAACAAGTGTGGCAAGAAAGACTGTAAATAGGGCAAAACTCATTAACTGTCTGGTTTAGCAATAGAAATTTGGGGCTCAATCTTAATCATAAATTGAGGATTTCCTGTACATACAAACACACACACACACACACACTATGGAAGTAACTGTTTTATACTACTTGTACTTTGTCTTCTATGCTAATTATGCAATCATCTAGATATTGTAAATTCCATCTACTGATTTAAAAGAATTCTACATATAAGGGCTTTTTTGTAGTACTCGTCTAAGAAATGACTTCATCTAATTTAATTGATCTAATTAAAATTTAACATTTCAATTTTATACTGGATTAGGTAAATATTATGCAATTGATCAGCATTATTAAATGTTTCAGTGAAAATATTACTTTTGAATGCAATGCGTTCAGATTTCCAATTTATGAGAAAAAATCTTGTTAGAATTAAAAGTTGTTACCCTAAGTGAGTCTATAATATTATCTGCTATCAGATAATATAAACTGTGATGTTCTATTTTTTAAATGTGCTTTAGCCATCAAAATCCTGCTGGATTAAAATGAATTATAGGTCAGTAAATAGATAAGATTTAAATAAAGATTATTATATATATTTTTGTTTCCCCAATAAAATCAAATTTACCAATCATTAAATATGTGATAGTGTAATGTTCAGTTCCTGGCAATAAGATGCTAAACTTAACTTTTCTGATCTGTGAGACCAATACTGATCTGGTTTGGTGAGCAAAACTAATTTACTTAATTTTAAGTGAGCTACCACTCTCCTTTCTGCATTTGCAACATGAGAATTTCTGCATTTGCAACATGAGGATAGTATTACGATACTGTCTTTGGCTATAGTTATAATTAAGGCAATAAAATCTTTAACACTGAATATTAAAGGCAGTGTATTTTTTTCTTGATTTTTCATTACTATTGCTGTATCACATTTTGTAAAAAAAAATCCATTATGTTTCAACTTGCTATGTATGTACTGAATTTCATCAGATTTCTGTCAGTTTTATTATATTAAGATATATTCAATGGAATCATATATAGCTGATTCTATTAAGACAACAAAAACAATACCCACCAGCAAGCACGTGCCACCACTCTTATTTTAAAATATTCATCATTATCTATGATGTTCTACTTACACTTCTTAACAGTCTTCCAACTTTTTCTCTGTCCCAGCACATGGAAGAAACCTTTAAGTTGCTTATTTTCAGCATGTTTAACAGAATCAAATGCAATATAAACTTTAGCCTATCAGGATGTAAAAACGAACCTTTTCCCAAACAAGTTGTACTTTTTCCCGCCGCAGTCTATGCAATATAAACCTAATTTCCCTTAAATTTAATGGATTGATAAAGTGGTCTCGGGTTCTAGACGCATGTACTATTTCATATTCTAAATTTTTATGAACTGCAGCAAGATATTCCGCTGTTTTAATTTCAGCGAACATAGACAAGACCCTCCATTATCACAGTAATACAGCAGAGACTAAGGAAGAAAATCCTACTATTAATAAAGCTGTTAGGATGGATTTCCGGCACGAACAAGAAATATTTCCTCGGTATGTCTCCTCTTCCTCGTGGCCTTGTGACACCCCGCCCACTATCCCTTGGTGGGGGATGCGGGGTGGAAGGGCCCAGATCCGCAAGCGTGCCAACCTTGGACAGTTTTTCCATTCTCTGCCCACGTCTTCTTTGATCCCTCCGCGTTATCACTAGGCCGCGGGAGACAGCCCTCCTAGGGCCAAAATATCAATATTCCTATATCCGCAGTGGGGAAAAACCAGGCCCCCTCTGAGGTAAGGGGCCGACTCCCCTTGGATCACCCATTCATCCCTCACCTTTGCGCAGCTCGCGCTCCCAGACGGTGACAATGAGCGGCGAATGCTTTCGGTGATGGATAAGCCACAGACTCAGTGTCTGGACACTTTGCTGAGAATTGCTTAGCTCCGACAATTTCCTCTCCAGCGCCGATTCTGAGAAAGCAGACATCGCCGCTCTATCCTTTCCCCCAATTTCGGACTTGTAAGGTGAATGAACGTTGAGATAAGAAGACCGCGTACGCTAACGTATCTCAAACAAAATGGCGGCTATTCTGCCTGTCGAACCGCAGAGGCACGCCTTTTGCGCAACGTCACTAAGCGAGACATGTGCTAGAGAGCACTACAAAAAAAGAAATACCGTAGTCCGTTTTAAAAACCCCAGTTCCAAAAAAGGGAGTGTGGTCTGTTAAGAGTTTTCTTAGTATGGTACACCGAATTGCACAAAAAACTGCAGCTTTCCAAAGGGATCACAACACACACATGAAGCAGTGATATTCTAATTGCAGCTGCTTTTTGTCTAGGCTTTACTTCTATACACCACAAGTTGTCCTGAATTCTGCACTAACTTTTTTCTGTTTTCATGGAGTCCCTAGTCAGCGCAACTTGACTTTAGATATATGAACAATAGTCTTTATTTGTGCATCCAATAGAGACTACTGTGGGCCACAGAGAATGGACTTTGTATTACTTGAAGCATGGTTTTTGTAGTACTCCACTGGTTAATTAACAGGTTTTCTTGTATTTTAAATTTGCTTTTTCAATTGAACTGCTAATAATTTTCTATAAACCTTAATTTTCAAGAAAAGTCCTTTCAAAAACTAGGACTGTCAGGAGAGCATTCAATATATTGTAGATAATAGTTTCAGTTTAGCTGTTCTCAAGCCTCTGTGAACAAAGAAAAGAGTCAAGCCAACCTTGAGAAGTGGGAGAATGAATCTTACCCAAACCCATTTTGATGTTTTTCATTTGCAAATGTTTCTTTTCCTTTTATTTGGAATACAATGCTCTTTTATATGGCTATGCACACCTGTTATTGAATGCTGTAATTCTTGTGATGTAACTGAACAAATGACTATCTCTAAATCAATTAATTTATGCTTTTAAGTTCTTTGTTATGCTAACTATAAAAGTAATCCGTTCATAAAATCCATTACTGGGGATTCCCCTTTTCATAGAGTAACTTTCTCGAAGTACTCTAATAAATTGCTTTCAAATGATCTTCTGACTTGGTTGCTTACTGGTTAAACCGAGGCAGATCCCAGGGCCAGATTTGGCTATCACTACCCCAATATTCCTTTAAGCATAAGAAATGTAAGAGTTAGAAGAATACATTTTGAAATGAATAAGCAGTGAAAAAGTCCTTGGCTGTTTCTGAACTACTTCACAAAACAGTCCAGCTGTTTTGGCATTCATGGAAGAGGATAAATGGTGCCAAGGGATACCATTCCTACAGTTTTCTCTTCAATGGGGGAGAATCTTCAATAACTCGAAGGTTGCCTAAAGAATGATGTGATGATGTTTCTCCTTAGTGACCAATTCTTTTCTTTTGCTTCACAAGAACAAAAGTGGCAAAGCCAATTGCTGGCTAAAAGAAACTGTTACTGGAGGTTTTTGTAGAAAGAAATATCTACTTACAGAAAGATGTTGTGAGAGCTTCATCACTGGTGGCTTACAAGAAGAGATTGGACTGCCATTTTTGTCAGAAATAGTGTAGAGTCTCCTGCTTGGGCAGGGGGTTGGACTAGATGACCTACAAGATCCCTTCCAATTTCGTTAATCTGTATCTGTAACCAAGGGATTAAAATCCAGTTGTAAATGGTAAATTATTGAACAGTCAACAATAGATGCTTTTGCTTACTTTGGACCTTACATTAATACATCTGGTAACCATATTGATTCTTGCTCCCTTTCTCTATTTTTTTTATCTCCACTAACTCAACAGATTCAGTTCTCCACTTTGAAAGGACTCAGAAGGTTTTTGAACTCAAATTGCTGTATGGGACCAGCCTACCAGACATCAATATGTGATAACAATCCAATACAGGACCATTACACCATCTAAGGTAAGCTATTCTTTACAGCCTCCAAACTGTAGCAAGTGGGAGACACAGCAAAGAAAGGAGTAAATTTTGGTTGTACCCAAGATACCATACCAATGTGGGTCAGGAGCAAACTTGTCTTTTTGCCTACCTCACCCAGACATGAAGCCCATTCTTTTAAGCACAAGTTGAACTCAGATTGACTGAGATTCAAAAGCTGAAAAGCCATTATCTCTAGTCCACCTCTGGACTATTTCAAAGCCCCATTTGTGAGTGGCAGAGGGCCACATGCAACCCATTTGGCCTTTCTTTGAAAACCCTGACCTAACTATACAATTATGACAGAGTATGCACACATACTTTTTTATATGAGACATTCTCTAATTAGTTGCATACACACATGTATGTATGTATGTGTATGTATGTGTGTGTGTGTGTGTGTGTATGTATGTATGTATATATATATATATATATATATATATATATATA